GACTATATTAAGCCACGTTTAAATGAAAATGTTAAACAAAATTCATATACTTAAATTCAAATGAAAAAAAGAATATAAACTTAAAGTTAAAAATGAAAAACTGAAACAATGATTAGAAAATGATAATCATGGTGGATTTAAAAGATGATGGAAAACATGTTTTTCTATATTAATGATACCCGAGTATCATTAATATTTTAGTATGATTGCTGGTTTCTCAAGAAATAATTGTAAACTCCATAAGACATATTAGTAGATTAAAAGAATCTATGTAAGATTAGCACTCAAGCTCTAAAAAGCACACAGGAACAATTAGTATATGTTACTATGACAGCAACAATTGATATTAGGATCATTAGATCATTAAGATCAAAAGAATTTCTTTTGCAAGAAATATTTTACAGTGTAGAAAAAAATAGAATTTATTTGAAACAACAATATGTTTTATTTAAGTTGGAAAGTACAGTATTTAAAAAAAAAATTTGCATTCAAGTTTTACAATTTTCTTTTTTTACATTGGATTATGTACCAAAAGATTTTAGCAGGCAATCCAATGATACATTAGGTCTAAAAATATTTGCATTTCTGTAAACCTGAGCAATTTTGGGGGTAATTGAGGATTCCAAATTAGAAAATAAAATTTCCAAATTAGAAAAGCAGAAAAGATCATTCTAGCCTATGTTGTAAATACAAATGCACTAAAAATATTTGTGCCAAATTTCAAATTACTTTGATTATTAGTTTTGAAAATATGGTAAATCAAGTTCAAATATCCATCAAAATTGGTAAATCAAGTTCAAATCAACAATTTTTGATAAGTTCATAAACTTGACTTTTTTTTTAAACAGTATAAATTTTTAAAATAATACTTTATCACAAAATTATATAAAAGCAAAATCACATTAGTATTTTGTAGGATATTCTTTACAATCAAGAATGGCAATAAAAAATGGGTTTGCATTTAAAAGGCATAGAGTCAAATAAATTAATCGGAAAATCAAATGGAATCAAGTCCCATATTTCTTTGATTTTGTTAAATAAACCAGCTTTAAGGCTTACTTCCTTTCATTTGATAATCATCAAATTTGATGATTATCAAATGAAAAGAATCAAGCTTTAAACTTAATCAAAGCTGGTTTATTTAATAAAATCAAAGAAATATGGGACTTGATTCCAATTAATATTTGGATTAATTTATTTGACTCTATGTCTCGTAGATACATAGCCATTCTTCATTGACATTCTTGATTGTAAAGGATATCATACAAAATACTATTTTTTATAGTCTAAACAGTTCAAAAAATATGATTATTAGAATAATGCAATTTAAAAAAAAAAAAAGTAAGTGAAGGTAGTTCAAAATTCTCAACTTTTTTTTTCCTAATCTTTTTTTTCATTTTCCGATGTTTCACTTTCTCTTTCTAATATTTCATTTTGGTCACAAAAATCTTTTGAGTTGCTCTCAACTTTGTTCGCCTTAATTTTGCTTCAGATTAGATTGCATAGCAGTTGAGCCAGTATTATTTTCAAGATGATTCAAAATGCATTTTTATAACTCCCATGTTTAACGCAACATACAAGTTTTTTTGTTTCTATTTCAAGCATTTATAGACATTATGTGCAATGCATGTTTATAGCCGGTGATAGTTATACATAATTCCACAAAAAAAATTTTAATGTTGATTATCCATTTAACTTTGATCATTTTTTATTCATTTCATTTCATGAAACTGTTACATGAGTGTTTCTGTCAAATGGCTTACATCTAGCAGTTATGTTTAACTAGATCATTTAGCAAAGCCAAAAGTTCTTTTTAGCAATAGTTGTAGATAAAAAAAAAAATCCCATTCATAACCATTGCAATAAATTTTTAATCCAATATTTTTTTGTCCATATTTTCTTGAAGAACCAAACTTCAAATTAACAAAATCTTCTAATTCTGGACATTAAAAAAGCATTATTGAATGATTACTAAGAAGCATTATTGCATTCTTCGGTTGAATAAAGCTCATAATTAAGTCTTATTTATATTTTGAGAATTTTTTGTTGAACAACTTTTGAAAGGATGATGACTTGTGCATAATGTGGGTGCATAAAGCACATAAAACAAGAAGCAATAGCTTCTTGTTTTATGCAAATAACTTCACTTAAAGAGTTAAGTTTGGGGTAATAATGTACTAATTTTTCAAAAGTCAACAAATAAGATTTTTAAAATAAAACTTACTTTAGCTTTTCAATTAAAGTTTCCTAAAATTAAAAATAAATTAACATTTTAATTTAATAATAATAAAAAATGAAATAATTATAAAAAAACATTACAATTACTTATTTTTCCTTTTTATATTGAAAATCATTTTTAAAGTTATAAAATAAAATTAAATTAAACATAACTTAAATTTATTTAAATTTTGTTAAATTAATTTAAATTTTTCCTTAACTTTTCTATTATACTTTCTAATATTTTATTATTAAATAAATTAAATTTCAATTCTAAACTTTATTTAAAAGTCATTTATAAATATTACATTAAAAAAACTGCACACCTTAGTAGTTAAAATAACTGAAGGTGTCACTTCAATTTTGTCAGTATTCAAGGATGTACCCACTATAGAAATATTACCAACACTTTTGCTGTAGAAAATTTCATAATAACAGTTTTATAGTAAGAAAAAACTATATTATATTGAATTTATATTTGAAAAAGATTTCCTATTGTAACAGTTAGAAAAAAAAAATTACTTATAATCTTGATGAGGTTCAACCAACATTGGCACAATTCTTCTCTTTCCATCTTTAGTCTTTGTTTCAGATTGCTTTTTCAAAACATCCTGAAAATTAATAAAAAAAAAAAAAGATTAAAAAGTTAAAAACTGACAACGACAATGATGCTGATCATTAAAAAAGTTAAAAACAAATAAGCAAAAAAAAAAAACCTCAGCAGCTGACTTCTCTAAAGAGCTACTTCGTAAGGTTCCTGCACAAAGCTTCACATCTTAAAAAAAAATATTTCAATAACAAGCATAAAACCAAAACAAGCATAAAATCGTAGCCAAAAATTTTTAGTGGATACAATTGAGCTTTTGGTTCATGTGAACAAAATTGCCATTAACTAAATTCAGATGAAAAGAAAAAAAGAAAAGAAAATCAAAACCTTTATTTATTCCTTTTGAAAACTGCGATACTGAATTAGGTTCTGAACTTTGATTTAACTTGATAACTTCACTTCCTTCTTGTTTATTTATTTCTTCTGTTACTTGTTGTTTCTGTTTCTGAAATTTATGAAATTCTGGGTTCTCCAACACAGAGGAGATTATTAATGATTTACTGGCTTTTATACTTGTGCCGAATGTTTTTTTATGGTAGTTATACTAAACATTTTAAAATTTAATAATTAATAATCAAAAACTAAAAATTTATTAGAATAAGGTAAAAAAAATTTAATTTAAAAAGATTTTGATATAAATTAAAACAACTTTAAAATTTTGCATTATTTACCTTCTCTTCTAAAGACAGAACTTTCCCAAGTTCTTCTTTCGAAAAGTTAAAAAATGCGACAGTTCCATCCAGAGAGCATGCAAACACAAAATAACCACACTTACTCCTAAATTTAAATAAAAAAATAAAAATAACCAAAAATAAAAAATTTAAATCAAAAAAATAAAAGTAGTTTAGCTCTTAATATCTCTAATTTTGTGTGCTGACACAGCATTATCAATAATTAATCATCATCATGATCATTGCAATTGTTATCACTATCATCACCACTATAATCTTTTGTGATTATGCTGTCGTAAAATGGCTGCCAATCAAAAGATTTATCAGTTCCCAGCCAAGAGATTTATTAGTTCCCAATCAAGAAATTTATTGGTTTCCAATCAAAAGATTTATTGACTCCTAATCAATAGACTTATCTGTTCAAACACACCCTTGCTTCTGGAAGTACCTTGCTCAACTTATATCTTATTTATTAGTTAATGTTTTGTAGTTCAAGGTTGAAAAAGACTTTTTAATAAAATTAAAAAAAAGAAAAAAACTATAAACTGTAGTTGTCCCTTATGGAGCCTTAGGGAGGTAAATTCAATAAATAAAACATATCAGATACAGTTTTGTTTTCCAGTTTCTTACTAAGTTAATTAAACATTTTAAAATACAGATAAAAAAATTTGAATACCATGATATATCCATAATAGAATTTTGAAATAACTCATTCATGACTAACAAAGGTCGTTTTAGTGAAGTCAGCTAAAATATAAACAACACATAAAAAAAGATTTAATAACATTTTAGAAGAAGCAATAATACTGACTGTAAAATAATACTGACTGTAAAATAGAAGCAATAATACTGACTGTAAAATTGAAGCAATAATACTGACTGTAAAATAGAAGCAACAATACTGACTGTAAAATAATACTGACTGTAAAATAGAAGCAATAATACTGATTGTAAAATAATACTGATTGTAAAATAGAAGCTACTTATTGATATTGCATCCCACATATTATTCAAACAAAACAGCATTTTGAATTAGCATACATTAAATTCTAATTAGAAACAATGATACTAAAAAACAAAAAACAGGTTAAAACATAAAACTGGATTTTATTATCTCACCCATATTGATAAACTTCTATCTCTGCTTCCTATAGCACATGCCACATATTGCTAAAAATAATAAATAAATATTCATTTTATATAAATTGTAACTTTATATGTATGTATGTATGTATGTATGTATGTATGTATGTATGTATGTATGTATGTATGTATGTATGTATGTATGTATGTATATTTATATTAAAATTATTAGTTTTTGTTTAAGCATAGTATACATTTTTTATGGAATGTGTGAAGGAGCACTTTTTATAAATGACCATATTAAATTGTCTATAAGTTTTAACTATTTTTTGTATTCCATTTTTGTTTTTGAATGACTGTTTGTGGTCAATATACATTTGACTGGTTGAGCCAATATACATTTTGTTCTTTGATAAAAAAAAGTATAAAACATAACTTTTGATTGCAAATAGATAAAGAGTATGAAAAACCAACCTTTGATTCATTTCCAAAAAATATTTGATCATTGAACCTCTACAAAAAAATATCAGTTTTTATTGGTCTGCAAATAAATCATACTAAAAAGACAATTTAACAAAGTAAAAAATATATATATTAATTATTATCAATTAAACAAATCATAATAAAAAGACAGTTGAAAAATTAAAATTAAAATTACATAAAAATTTTTAGATTACCATAGAGTGGCTATATAATAATTTTCTGGGTAAAAAGCACTGTGTTACATTTCCATGTCTTAAATTTTACTAAATTTTATTTGTATATTTTTCAGTTTCAATACAACACTAATGATAAGGTTAAACACAAATATTATGATCTTATAAATAATATTTATAACATCATAATATTTGTGTTTATATTATGTATAAATATTATATTTATATATTATATTTGTGTTTAACGTTAAATATTATGATCTTATAAATAATCATTATCATCAGTGTTGTATAGAATCTCAAAAAAAAAAAAAAAATTGTTACAAAATTGCATCATTATTTATATCTGTTTATAATAATAATTCATTTGACTTACTACATTTTAATATGACAAGTTTTCTGAACTTTGATTTAAAAAATATATACCACACAAGTCACAGCTTTTCTGTGGCCTACAAAATCCATCTTTGATTTCCATCCATTACGTTGAATAATTTTAGCAACCGGACCACCATTATTCATTGCATGTGCAGAAACTACATATTGTCCGTCAGGGGACCAGTTCAATCGCAAAACATGAGTTGTTCCACTAGATTCAACAAATGGTTCTGTAAATTTTTTTTCCAATGACCAGTCAGAAACATTCCATATACATAATGTTTTGTCATCTGCCTATATTAAAAAATGCATTCAATAATCTTTTAAAAACTTATCAAAATATGCATAAAACTTGCATAAATATGCAAAATATGCATAAAAATCATATGAAAGGAAATTAATTGCATAGTTTACATCACATAACTTTATTTCGTTACTTTATAATTTTCAATCAAAAAAGATTTAATTTGTGATTCTGGTAATTTCCCAAATTTTCAGTTGAATAGCTATTTTTACTTTACATTATGGTTAAAATTAAAACAAGCTAAAAACACAAAGCAAAAACAAACATATGTTGCAGTTTTACAAATTATTTTATTATAATATAAATACTATATTCTGTTTAATATTAATATAAATATTTTATTTAACATTTTATTTAACAAGATTTTATCCTGCAATTGATGGAGGCGGTGAGGCTAGGGCGGTTGCTCTCGACATATCTAAAGCTTTCGACAAAGTTTGGCATGCTGGTCTTCTCCATAAGCTTGCTTCATATAGTGTTTCTGGGAAAGTTTTTGAGATTATCAAATCATTTCTTTCTAACCGGTTTATTAAAGTCATCCTTGAAGGCCAACACTCTTCTTTATTTCCATTAACTTCTGGGGTTCCCCAAGGTTCCATCCTGGGCCCTGTTTTGTTTCTTATCTACATAAACGATCTTTCTGACAACCTTTCATCTAAAGTAGCTCTTTTTGCTGATGACTCAACTTTATACTCCTGTCTTGACAAAAAGTCCTCTCTTTTTGATCGCCTAGAACAAGCAGCTGATCTTGAATCCGATCTCAGTTCAGTTATAGATTGGGGTTCACAGTGGCTTGTGAATTTCAACTCTAACAAAACCCAGTTGTTTACTGCAAACAACTACCGTAATATGGACAACATTCCTATATTAATGAATGGCAATCCTCTTACTGAGTCCTCCTCTTTACATCTTCTTGGATTATCGCTTACTACTGACCTTTCATGGAAACCATATATACAATCGATTGCTAAATTAGCTTCTGCTAAGGTTGCTTCTCTTTATCGTGCTCGCCATTTCCTTACTTCTGATTCCATTCTCTACCTCTACAAATCTCTTATTCGTCCCTGTATGGAATACTATTGTCATATTTGGGCTTGTTCTTCTAACGATTCACTTTCTCTTCTTGACAAGGTCAAAAAACGCATTGTAAATGTTGTTGGACCTGGACTATCTGCTAAGCTTGAACCTCTTTCCCATTGTCGTAAAGTTGCATCTCTTTCTCTTTTCTACAAATACTATCATGGTCACTGCTCAAAGGAGTTATCATCTCTAGTTCCATCAACTAAAATTCATTCTCGTTTTACTTGTCATTCAGTTAAGTCTTATTCGTTTACTGTATCTGTCCCTGCATGTTCTAAAAACTTTTATTCATCTAGTTTTTTTCCCCGCACTTCAATCCTTTGGAACTCTCTCCCATCTTCATGTTTTCCTGACTCATACAACCTTCAACTTTTCAAGTCTTCTGTCAACCGTTTCCTTGCTCTATAACTCTGTTCTTTTTTTTCCTAGTAACTCCCAACTTGATAGTAAATAAAATAATAGAAATATAAATAATTTATATCACATAAGTTTTAATAATATAAATAATACAATTTATACAAAAAATTAAATAAACTTTTTAAAGTTTCTTATGTTTTTAAAATCAATTTATTAATTTATTTCTAAAATTTAAATTTTTGGCATTTTTAAGGTAGGCTAGCGTATTTTAACTAAGATAACCTGCCTTTTAACAGTAAAAACTCATATGTCATTGATATGAGTCTACAGGAAGTGAAGTGGACAAGTCTGTGTTATTTGAAAAAATACAGGTTTCTTACAGTTAGTTAGCCAAGTTAGCCAATTACAGCTTTATTATTGTATTAATGAAAACTTTAATGGTTACTTTGTAACCAGGTCTCTTGAAATCAGTTAATTTCATTTTTTCTCCAAAAAAACAAATTTATTCGAAAGCATTTAAAAAAACAAAACTTTAAACATATAAACATTTGAACTGTATAAACAGCTATTTTATATAAAATTAAAAAAGCTGATAAAAATATAATTAAAATTCAAAATAATATATATGACTCTACATAACCATTTATAGCTGGATATAACATCATATCATATTGTTTATTGACCATTAACTTTCAACTAAAGGTCAAGACACAAATTAGAAGTAAGACTAGTTAGTAACTAGTTTACCGATGGGTTCACTAACAATGGTACAGTTTTAAAATTTTGGTTGCAAGTATTAACAAAACGTCCTAAAAAATCTTTATATCAAGTGGTTAAATTAAGAAAAAACCGTTAAAAAATACAAAATACAGAAATGAACAGAAAAAAAACATAACAAAGCAATGGAATGAGTTCTCACGTCAAAACAAACAATTTTTTAATTAATTAGAAAATTGCTCAATCACCCGTGCAGAATAGGGGGAGAAGGAACTTGTTTTGATGCCTGCACTTGGATACCATTTTATTTTTATTTTTTTTAGCAGATTTTTATTTTTGGAAAATAGAATTTTATATTTTTCGTAAGTGCATAGTTTGCAGGACTTTGTGGCTGGGTTGTAAGCATTGCACTGCTTAATTAATTTCCGTTTGACAACTGGGTTTAAGTTGGCATCTTTTAATTTCCAAAATTCTTTTGATAATTCAGTGTCATTTTTGTATTTTAGAATGTTAAATGATTTTATATGGTTGGCATATCTAATTTTGAATGGTGTTTCACTTATACCGATGTAGGATTTGTTAACAGGAGTGTTAGTAGGATTATTGGAACTTATATCGGCTTGGTATACAATGTTTTTTGTTAAGCATTGGTTTGATAAAGGACAGGTATTTTTATTAAGACAATTGCAGTTGGTTTTAGGTGGAATTTTGTTGTTGTTCATAATTTGATGATTGTGTGCATTTAAAAAAGATTTCATATTCGGCATACAGCTATAACTTATTTTTACTGTGTTTCTGTTAAAAATTTTGTGGAGTCTGTGATTTATTGGGAAGTGTTTGTTGATTAAGGTTTTTCCTGCATTAGTGCTAACATTTTTGCTGAAAGGAGGGTTGAACCATATGATGCTTCGTTTACGGTTTTTGGCATGTGGTAATTTTAAATTAAGGTAATATGAAAGTTTGTGATTAAAACGGGATCTTATTAGCGCATCATTGTACATAGGAGTAGATCTTCAGAAGATTTCTTCACTTGAGGAATTTGCTGACAATCTTAACTCAATTAAATGCGGAAGCTGTTTTAAAATATTAGGCGGGTGACATCAAGATAATTTATAATTTTCATGTTGCACTGTATTGATATAGTGAGTTCGTTTTTTTTTAATATTTCAACAAAATGTTTTTTGATTTTTTTCATTTGGGGACCACTCATTTTTTTAAAAACTATATATGTGTGTATATAGTTTATATATATATATATATATATATATATATATATATATATATATATATATATATATATATATTGGGAAAATATGCAAAAACATTAATTACTTTTTAAGAACAGACTCTTTGAGCATTTGTCAGATTAAAATTACAAGAGCTGTACATGGTAAATAACAAAGAAAAGAGATAAATATCTTTATTTATGGATCAATATCTAAACTCCTTGTCTACTATAATTCACTGGGAATAGTATCATGATAAATTTATCACAAGAACTGATTTGTAGATTGTGAAAACAAGATAAATTTTTTAGATAAATATTTTACAAAAACAATGAATCTTTAAAATATATAAATTTGTTTATAAACTTATAAAATTTATTATTATTATTTATACTTAATATTACAACAACTTTATTATAGTGAATATGATTTTACTTGAGAAGCCAAATACTTTCCAACTGGATCAAAAGTAACACCTTTTACTAGACCATTATGACCTTTTATAGTATGAACTAATAATGGAAAGGATTGAGCATTCCAAATATTAATTGTGTTGTCAACACTGCCTGTTGCTATATAACTGTCATCAGGAGACCATGCAAGATCAAGAATGTCTAAAATTTAAATCGAAAAATATTTTTAATATCAATTTATATACAAAACAAAAAACAATAACAAAATAAGTGAAAACCTCCAATGTGACCTCGCAAAACATGAACACAAATCCAATTTTCTATAATCAAGACTGTACCCCCGGTTCCAAACAAAGTTGATGAACCTTTTTTCCTAATTTATTACAATTTATTAAAGAAATAAAATAATTATTTTAAAGCACATAACATTAAAATGAATAACATTTAAAAAAATTTTTTAATATATAATTATTACTAAAACTATATAATATATAATAATATTAATTAATATGTTTATAAATATTTTAGTTAATAATTAAATTAATTTTAATTAACAATATTAGTCAGATATATACATACACATAGACGTAAAAGGAAAGAAACAAAAAAAAAAAAAAAAATTCTGCATACTGTTTTTGTTTTTAGTTGCTTGTTAAATTTTATTTGTATACTTATATTTAAATGCTTCATTTTTTTAATTTATTTTAGTTTAAATGATAAGTAATTAATAAAAAATAAGAAAATATTATTCATATAAAAAAATTTATATACAAACATTTTTTTTAATTTAAATTTTAGCGGATAACTTTTTTTACATAAAAAGTTATAACTTGTTGTTTGTGCATCAATATCAAATTTTATTGTACATTATTTAAGAGAAAATGTTTTATTCTTGTAAATAAAATTTTTCCTTGGTCAGTTATTATGTGTATAAGTTATACAGGGTGTCCCAAAATTAACGCAAGATTTGTATTTGCCACCATTTATGCAGTACAGTTATGACAACATTAAAAACAAAATAAATCGACAGTTGACAGTTTAGTGTTAGTAAAAGTGGAGCCTTATGCAATAAAACAACCTGTCTTCATTGTTGAACAATATTTCAAAAATAATGAATGCTTGGCAGCCACAGTTTGAAAATTTCACACAAAATATGGTTGGAATAGTGTTTTAACTTCGTCAACTGTGAAGAGATTAATTAAAAAATTCCGAGAGATAGGATCCGTGGGAGATGCCAAACACATTGGCCATCCAAAAACAAGCCATTCAAATGTCAAAATAGAGGCAGTGCGTGCGAGTGTCAATGACAATCCAGAAACCTCAATTCGGCGTCATGGATAAGAATTGCAAATTTTAAGAAACTCTCTACAGCGTATACTTACTAAAGATCTGTGTCTCCACGCTTACAAAATTCAATTAACACAACTACTGAAGCCCAATGACCATGCACAGCGAAGAGAGTTTGTTGAATAGATTATTGAGCAACAACAAATGAATGCTGATTTTTCGAGCAAAATCATCCTAAGCGACGAAGCACATTTTAACCTTGATTGCCTTGTTAATTCCCAATTTACTGCATGAGACATTTCCAGGTCGTGTACTCTCTCATTTTGGTGATAAGAATTGGCCCCCTAGATCGTTTAACGCCATTAGATTTCTTTTTATGGGGTTATTTAAAATCACAGGTCTACGTCAACCAGCCCACAACCACAACAAAATTCAGCCACATTTATGCAGAACGGTTATGGAAAATTTCGACAAACGAGTGCATATGTGTATGCAAAGCCGCGAAGGCCATTTGCCCGATGTGTTATTCCATAAATAACCCTATCCTATGTACTTTGTGAATCAATAAAAAAATTACAATCAAAAGACTAAAAACTGTGTTTTCTATTTAATTCAAATTTTGCTTTAATTTTGGGACACCCTGAATAATGTTTGTAGTTATGAGCTTTATATGATATATAATGTTTGCATTTATTATGTGTATGTTATATAATGTTAATAGTATTTAACAATAACTACAAAAATTATTTTGTATTTTGGAAACATACGCATATAATAAATGCATAACAAGCATTGTTTAACAAATACACATAATAATAATTATTATGTGAATTTGTTGCACTATGTTTTTAGTTATGATGTGTATGTTATACTTTTTTTGCAGTTATTATGTGCATTTTGTACAATGTTTGTAGTTATATGTATAAAATGTTTGAAGTTATTATGTGTATATATTACATAATGTTCGTAGTTATAATTTGCATATGTTATACAATGTTTGGAGTTATTATGTATAAATGTTATACAATGTTTGTAGTTATGTGTATATGTTACACAATGTTTGTAGTTATGATCTGTATATGGTATACAATGCTTGCAGATATTATGAGAATTTTGTGCTAATTAGAAAATTTTAATTTAATTTTGGCACCAACTAAAAAGGGACGCTTAATTTTTTACTTTTCTTGGAAATATTTTATCAGACATTTATTTTATTTTTCATCAATTAATCAGAATTATTTTTAAATTTATTTAAATAAACAACAAAGGTTTTAGGCAACAATATGTAGGAGTGTCTTTAAGCAAAAAACATTTGCTCGAAAACTGATGTTACATAACCTAATTGGTGTTTTATTACATAATAAAAAAAACTTGTTTTTATTATTATTTTTACAGTGCATTTTTGCTTTTTATTAAGTTAATAAACTAACAAAAACAACAAGTAAATAGTTTTTATTGTAGATATGTGTTGTTTTAACTTATGAATTATAGGGCGACAACTTTTAATATGCAGTATTTAGTTATTCAATTATTTACTTAATAATAAACTAAAAATTAAAAAAAAAAAATCAAAGAGAAAATATGAATTATTTAAAGAAACATTTTTCTGATAAAATACAGTAACACAGATTCAATAATACATAAATACAGTAACATAACCAGGGGTGTGGAGTCATAAAAAAAAGTAACGACTCTGACTCCAGTTGTTGAAATTTTTTGTGTACAACCAAAAAAAGTAACGACTCCGACTCCAATTGTTGAAATTTTTTGTGTACGACTCCAGTTGTTGAAATTTTTTGTGTACAACCGACTCCAGTTGTTGAAATTTTTTGAGCATAACGCTGACTCCAACTCCTACTCCAACTTCTAAGCAAAATTTTTGAAAATTTCTTTGAATTCTTAAAAAAAAATTATGCGATAATTTAAAAATTTCTTTTTGACAAATTTATGAAACGTTCTTTGAGGTTTAGTATGAAAAAAAGGTTAATTTGATGTTTTGTACATGCACGTGTTATACTGAGAAATTTACTATTGGAGTCGGAGTCACGATTTTGTTTCGCGACTCTGACTTCGCTAAAAATGTCACAACTCTGCAACTCCGACTCTAACTCCACAGCCCTGAACATAACAGAGGATTGCAATTTGTATTTTTTTCTCTCAAAAAAAGCAGAAACATTTTTTGAGATAAGAACTATTTTCATCATTGTTTCACATTATTACCCATTTTTAATTAAGAAAAATTAAAATCCTAATTAAAGTTTTAAATTTTACTTTATGAATGAAACAACACTGCATTGCAAAAATTACAACTACTTTATAAATTTAAAAATATTTTAAAACAAACTTTTAAACATCGTTTTTAACCTTTTTTGGCAAAAGGGAGCAGAAATAATATTAAATAGTTGAGCTTTGTTCACCAACTTTAATTGTTTTAATCATCCTTTCAATCATACTAAACTAGCTAGGCCTACAGGTAGCCATATATATATTGCTAGATATAGGGCTTGGTCTCTCAAGAAGGACATCATCATCAAGTTTTATTCAAGATGTAATCGCAGCAATTTCATTAGTGATTAACTATTGCATATTTATACCAAGCTAATAACACTTGTCTTGTTGTTAAATTGACTTTTAAATAAATGAACAGTTTAGGTATTTTGTTTTTGATATTTTTGCAATTTTTTTTGGAAAGATTGATAACTTAAATTCTCATATTATTTCTATTCATTTTAAATCCAAAATAAGATGCTACTTTTCCCTAAGGCTTTTAATAAAACGCTTGCAAAAAAAGTCATAAGTATTTAAAAATAGCTGCAAAAACTTATCTTTTTTAAAAACTTGTTTAAAATTAATAAATATTCTTAAAAAAATAAAATGAAAGACCATCAATCAAACAAGTTGATTTAAGACTTTTTAAAATTTCCTGCAAAACGTTTTAAGAATTGCTATTTAGGATTACTTAGCGTATTTTTTTCAATATCAAAGTTGTAGGAGTCTAGCGTCTCTTTTTTGGATAAGTGTCATAAGTTTGCTATTTTTTATTTTTTGTTTAAGGTGCCCCAAGAAGACCTAACGGTCACCAGAGGAAGAGCATTCAAATAGGAAGTCTCCTTCCTTACCAATAGGAAGAGCATTCAAATTTCCTTCCCAGTCTCCTTCCTTACCAATGGTGCAAAATATGTCCAGAGCTTGCTTCAAACCCAGCTTCTCTTGCTTCAAAAGCAACCGCTCTAACCAATGCACCACGGCTGCTCAAATATGCTTTTGTGGTACATAAGACCTCTTCACCACACAACTCGCAAAATTTACTTTTGTCAGGAACAATTTATTAAAAACATATTGCTTAAAAAAAAATGTTTGTAGGTTGTGGGTGATGCATGGTTTGTGGAAAACAATAAAAAATAAAGCAACAGTTAAAAGTTAACTTGCCTTATTGTTAAGTAACAGTTAAAACTAAAATTATCATAAAACTCATTGAAAAATACAAAACCAATAAAAGAAACATACAAAGAAAGTTCCCAGATCATCACCAACTTGTCGTCTCCACCAGATGCTAAGTATTTACCACTAGTCGACCAACGTAAACAGTTAACACAACCTAAACATACGTTGATACCCTAATATGTTAATATGTAAGTGCAACAAAGCATAAATACTTTAAAAAAAGAAAACACTAGCTAAAAAAGCTGTCCTTATTAAATAAATTTAAATATTTTTATTTTTAAACCGGTACTTTCTACTTACAGTCACTTTTAGTGTTGACAAATTAATAACTTGTTAAAATTTTGACAATACTTTTCTGATTATACACTAGTAGTAAGTTTATAAAGAAAACTTCATAATTTATAATTTAAATATAATATATTTTATAAGAAAACAGTCTTCATAATTTATAATGTAAATATATATTAAGAAAATTTCAAAAAAGATTATAAAGGAACATATTTTGAAAATAATTTGAACAGCAAAAAATTGTTAATTATAAGTTATCAAAAATTTGAAATCATTATTTGTTAATTAACACAATCCGTTATTTAATACCCAGCGTAGATTAAAATTTGACTTGTAATACTATAGTAATAATACTATATATATATATATATATATATATATATATATATATATATATATATATATATATATATATATATATATATATATATATATATATATATATATATATATATATATATATATATATATATATATATATACATATATATATATATATATATATATATATATATATATATATATATATATATATATATATATATATATATATATATATATATATATATATATATATATATATATATATATACATATATATGCATGTATACATTAGGGTGGGTCATAAAACTTTTTTTCAGAGTTGCTATACCAGCTAGGGTCTAGAAAGTAGCCTAGGTGCTACTCATAGTAAAAAAGTTAAAAACATTTAAAACAACAGATGTCTTACAACTTTCCTGAAATGATTTACTTTTAGAAAGCTTAGAGCTAAAAATATTAGGAATTCATTGAGAGTTACTATGATACAAAAGCCATATCCAGGGCCAGCAAGAAGAGATGTTGCTTTTAGGAGCGTGTCATAAGCATGTTGTCCGACTAAAATAATTTAAAAAAAAACCATGTACCTATTGCTGGCCTCTAACAAAGCTTTGCACAAGAATCTTTGTCAATCAATTTCTTTATACAGTTGATTACACTCTTTTCATCAATTGCTAGGATACCCACTGTGTTGTAGACACTTGGATTTTCCTGTGCTACAGCTGTTGCTCCCTTCTGCATACAATCATATTTTTCATACTTTAAGTATTTTTTTTTATGTCAGCAGGCTGGCACAAAATGGAGTGTTTAGTTACAACTTTTGTGCTGATGGATGCCATTTCTTAATACTCAGTACATTATGACAAATAGAAAAGATAATAAACAACTAATTGAAATAAACCCCTTTGTAGCAAGAATCAATTATCACTTCTATTACCAATTTTACAATATAAAACAGAACATGTTGAATGAGTATATATATTATCAACCTTACTTCAGGTTTGTTGGGGGTAGATTTACAATATGTTGGAATTATTAATTTACAATCATTTAGACTTATCTAATATTATTTCATGTACCACTGGACATAATATAAACTAAATTTAATGACAACACTTAAAAGAATATGCCATCATAAAATTGAAAAGCATTTTCACATATCATTATTTTAAATTAAAAGTTGCAGGTAGTTAGCTCAAAATTTAAAAACTCCTATAGACCCTTATTGTTAGAAACAATAGGAAAACTTTTTATGCTATATATATATATATATATATATATATATATATATATATATATATATATATATATATACATATATATATATAAATATATATATATATATATATATATATATATATATATATATATATATATATATATATATATATATTATATATATATATATGCATATATATATATATATATGTATATATATATATATATATATGTATATATATATATATATATATATATATATATATATATATATATATATATATATATATATATATATATATATATATATACAATGAAATAAATTAAATGAACTATTTATGTGAATGGTATTTTAGTTAGCTTAGAGATTATATTATAAATATTTTTATTTAGCTAATTCCTGGTACTGTGGGTAATAGTAAATAATACATACTAGCTGATCTGACCCGTAAAATTTTTTACAATTTTTTTGTAATTTGAGTAATAATTTAAAGCCATTATTTATGTGATGCATATTGGAAGCAAAAAAAAGCAAACTAAAATGTTTAAAAAAACAATGCTTAACAAATTATTTGAGCAACAAAAACATTCTATATTATACTAATCTGATGTTGCTGATTTAAATGTTTTGGGAAAAATAATTTGAATTTAATTTTAATTTTATTAGTTTTTTTCAAAAATGAAATGCTGAATTACTAACAGTCAATAATTTTTGTGAGAAAATGCAAATAATCAAGTCTAAAATTTATCAATCATTGGTAATAAAGAAACAGATTTTTGTTTATTATTTATCAAACAGTCAACAAATGAGACAAATAAATAATACTTTAATAGTAATTGCTTGGCATTTTAATCAGTTATTCAAATTTAATTTTGAGACGATTTGGTTAAACTTCTAAATTAACAGATTTTTCTAATTTATTTGGTGCTTTTTTATAGGTTTTTGTAACATTCTCATTCATCAATTTATCATAATTTTTAGCAGACATTTTCTTATAGATAATTGGTTTTATCAGCAAATGCAAGAACATCTTTGCTGGTTATAATATTAAAAATATCTTTAACAATTTAATAGATTTTACTAAAAAAAAAGTTTAAAAGGTCATTTTCTTGGTCATTTAGCTTGTTATATTGAAGGGGAGTGAATTTTGATATAAAACCGTAATTTTTATTTGTTTCATACTTTTGTTGGTTTTTTTTAAAGAAATAAGTTTTCCAATGAACTCTTTTATTAAAACTTTCAATTTTTTCTACTAATTTAATGTGTTTCTTGTTGTGAAATGTTGTATATTTTCAAGAGAATAATCAAACTGGATGTTTATTATTGAATATACAAATAAAGAGTGCTAAACTAACAGATATTATTAGTGTAGTATGTTAGTGTATATATGTAAATACTAATTGAATACTTTTGTATTATCATATATATTTTTGTATATGTGATTGCTCAATAGATAAACTAGAGCTATATAATCTCTATATATTATTGCCAAACTTAATAGTTTTATTAATAGTTTTAATAGTAGCAGTGTCCCTTGGAACGTATTTGACACAAAACTCTTGGCAGCCATTGCAACCAAGGTATTGGCGCAATAGTCTTACCTTTGCTTTATAAGAAAACGTGAGCAATCATGAAACTTATATCGTACGTAATAAACTTCATGTTATGTAATGTTAAAACATACTTAAACATATGGTTAGCGTTTAGCTTCTGAACTGGAAGGCCGTGGTTCAAATCCAACCACCTGTGACTTCTTTAATTTTTTAAAATTTTTAAAATACTTGTGAAGTTTTATAAAGATTATATACAAACATATGTAACGATGTTCACTAACAAACAAAAAGATTTTTAAAAAAGCTAAAAATTCTAAAAACATTAAAAAACGGGGGGATATTTGTTGATATGTGACATGGTTGAGATACTTATGTTATTTTAGTTTTTTACATTTCAAGTTTTTTTACAACTAAGTTAAGTTTATGCAAGAAAAATGAGTATACAACATCTTTATGTATAGAATATAAAATTTATAGAACTGTAAAGTTGTTTTATTTTGTATTTTAAATAACAAAATTTTAAAAATAAGGCTGATGATTCGAATTTGCCAAGCGTCAACCTTAACTTTTTCAAAACAGTACAGGAGTTTAAAAAGTATGATTTTTATAAGAACATAATTAAAAATTATGTTCTTATAAAAAAAAAATTATTGCAAAAATTGATCTCATGAAAATTTTATTTATAGACAACATAGTTACTCAAATGCAAATATTGCTGTATTAAATATTTATTTAATTTTGTGACAAATCAGAATCGAAAAACATTCTGAATTTTTCAAAAATTTTCCGAAATTTTAAGAATTCCTAAAATTCAAAAAATTCCGAAATTTTAAGAACTCCTAAAAATACTCATTTATGTACTTACATATAACAACTAATAACAAAATCCAATATAATATCCTCTAACCCAAAATTAAATTTGGGATACTAGATTTTTTCTTCTAACTAAGTTACATTCACAAATAAACATATATTAAATAAATATATTCATTGTAGTCACATATATGCACTGGCATCCAAGACATAAGCAACCAATTAAAAAATTCTATTTTTTCAACCACAATTACTGAATAAATTTTTGTTCAACTTCAATTACTGAACAAATTGTTAATGCTATATAGTTGTTTTACATGTATTGTTATTTTAATGCAAAATCTTTTTTTAAAATATTAAAAACTTTTTTCACAACTACTAAAAAAAAAAAACTAAAATTGAACACTCGTAACAGTTTTGCACTGTTTTTGTAAAAGAACTAAAAAGTATTAAGGATTTCTGTCTTACTGTGTTACATATTATTTTGGTTATAGGTAATTTATAATAAAGTGTAATTTAGCTTTTTAAAACATATTATCAAAGATTATAATTGTAATATTATAAAAAAGTTGCTAATAATTTGAGAAAACCATATTTTTACATTAAAATACCCCTATATATATATTTATATATCCAAGTGTGTATGTATGCAAAATGTAATATATATTAGGGTGATTCATAGTGGATGCTAAAAAAATAAAAGTGTTTATAATGTTGGTGCTCAAAAAGTTATGTGTTCCTTTTGTGTTAAGAAAGAAATGTGAACTTTATTTTTAAATTCATAATATATTTAGTACTGCCTCAATATACTCAAAGTTCTTGTAATTGGCACAAATTCTCAACTTTTCACGAATCGGTTCACTTACACTCTTGGTTGTGCTTATTCAGGTAAGCCTTTGCATGCTGTTCAGAAATTTATTTATTTTCACCACAAAGAATGTCATGAAAATAACTTCATGAAGTTAAATAAAGCAGCCATATTAATATTGTTCAGTAACTTTTTGCTATTTTAATTAAACTTTAGCAAACTATAAAGTTTTTTGGGAAGTGAAATGAGTAATAACTTATTACTATTGCTTTTAAGCAATTACTATAAAATCAAGTAGTAATTATTCATATATTGCTAATACAAAGCACAAGAATACTGAGTAAAAGGCCTTCTTAGGTGAGACTTTACCACAAGGAGTATTATTTAGAAGTCCTAGGACATTTTTATGCCCCAGGACTTCTGAATAATATACTATTATAGTGATAGATGTACCGAATTCTGTACATGTAAAAAAAAATTTTTAAGAACAGTTTCATATTACTAAGCATGAAAGTTCTATCTGTTCATAGTTCTTTTTTATTTTTTTCACTTGTATATGCCTAGGTCTAGACAACAAGCATGAATGCGTGTGATGCGCCTTTAAATAACTTGAAGCTGTTTAAAGCTCTTTAACTTTAAAGAGTAGTCTTCAACTTTAGTCATCATTTCCCGCTCTTTTACTTTTTTTCTTTTTTTTTTTATTCTGTTTCACTCCCAATAAAGCTGCAACCATTACTAAGCTGGGAGTTACTAGAAAAAAAAGAATAGAATTATTGAGCAAGAAAGCAGTTGACAGAAAACTTAAAAAAATGAAGGTTCTACAAGTCAGGAAAACATGACGAAACATGGAAAGTGTTTTAAAGAGTTAAAGTGTGGGGTAAAAAACTAGATGAATAAAAGTTTTTGGAGCATGCATGAACAGGTACAGTAAACAAATGAGACTTAGCTGAATGACGAGTAAAACGAGAATGAGTTTTAGTTGATGCAACTAGAGATAATAGCTCCTTCGAGCAGCATCTATGATAGTATTTGTAGAAAAGAGAAAAAATTGCAACTTTACAATGATTTGAAAGAGGCTCAAGCTTAACAGCTAGAGTGGGTTCAACTATGTTTACAATGCATATTTGGACCTTGTCTAGAAGAGAAAGAGCATTATTAGAAAAACCAGCCCAAATATGACAAAAGCATTCCATACAGGGACGATTGAGAGATTTGTAGAGGTAGAGAATAGAATCAGGAGGAAGAAAATGGCTAGTTATAGTTTCCATGAAAGCGAGTTATATATGTGGTTTCCATGATAATTTAAGAATTTTCCAATAAACAATAATTTAAGAAGACATAAAGTAGAGAACTCCGCAAGAGGGTTGCTATTCATTTATATAGGAATGTTGATAGTACTGTGACAGCTGTTTGCAGTAAATAACTGAGTTTTGTTGGAGTTAAAATTTACAAGCCACTGCGAGCCCCAATCTGTTACAGAAGTGAGATCAGATTCAAGATTGGCTGCCTGTTCTAAGTGATTGAAAAGAGAAGACCTTTTGTCAAGACAGGAGTATAAAGTTGAGTCATCAGCAAAAAGAGCTTCTTTAGATGTAATGTTGTCAGGAAGATCATTAATGTAGATAAAAAACAAAACAGACTCAAGGATAGAATCTTGAGGTACCCCATAAGTTACTGGAAATGAAGAAGAGCGTTGGCCTTGGAGGATGACTTTAATAAAGCAGTTAGAAAGAAATGATTTGATAATCTCAAAAACTTTCCCATATACATCATATGAAACAAGGTTATTGAAAAGAACAGCATGCTAAACTTTGTTAAAAGCTTTAGATATATCATATATCATATCTTTGTTTAAAGCTTTAGATATATCTCCCTCTATCTAATTCATGATAAAATTTTTCAGATGCAGCAGAAAAAAATGTTTTTCATTTAATATCTATTCACCAAAAGGAACATGAAAAGCAAAAAGCACTAGTGAATTTTAAAATTTTATTTTTTTGTACCACCTTAACATTATATACATGTATATATATATATATATATATATATATATATATATATATATATATATATATATATATATATATATATATATATATATATATATATATATATATATATATATATATATATATATATATATATATATATATATATCAGGCTTTCCGAGGAAAGGTGTGCGGTCGCACGCCTTGTTTGTCCATACATGGAATAAATTTTTCTGACTAACTGATATATATTTCATATATATATATATATATATATATATATATATATATATATATATATATATATATATATATACACACACACATGTGTGTATGTATGCAAAATATAAAATATTATCACCTGTATGATCATCCATTTGACAAAGCATTCTAGGAACAGAAAAATCTGCCTCAAGCTTTTCATTTATGACTGGTCCCACATTCCATATTATTACAATTCCTCCATCTTCCCCTAAGCAAAACAATTATTATTAGTAACTTTTATTTAAAATAACAGAAATAACAGAAATATAAACTTTATTACATCATGATTTATAAACATTAAAACAACATTTTTATAAACTTGCTTATATTTATTAAGAAATTAAACAATGATTTAATTATTAAAAAAAAAATAAAGTTATATTTGTAACAAGTAAAATCAAGGCAATTATACTTACTTTTTGAACTTTCTGCTATTACTTTTTTTACAATTTATATAAACTTTTCATAAAAATAGATTTATTAACAATTATTTTTAAATACATATAAATAATAACAGTAAATTATAACAATAAGCTATTACAGCATCTCCCCATTAACTAAACTCTTAAGTTACTTTGTTGGTTAAATATACTGGCCTTCTTCTTTCTCTGCTAGACTGTCTAATCACTGATGACAAGTCATCACTAGGGGTTGCAATACTGGTTAACTGATAAATTGAATAAAAATGTATAACTTCGTTACAGGTAAATAAATGGATAATAAACAGTAAATTCAGTTAAAAAAAAATTATGACAAATCTGAGAAACAACAATCTATTAATAAGTAACCACACTCATGAAAAAATGTAAACACTTCACAAATGTTTTTTTTTTATAGCTGAATAAAAATGTAATTAATTGTAAAAAAATTATTTTCTTTGTACATAGTTAAAGATTGGTATAATTCCGTTGGGATATTATTAACGATTGGTTAAATTCCCACTAGATTTTATAAATAAATGATGCAAAAGTAATTCTATTTCGAAAAATTGCGTGAAGGAATTCAAAATTTTAAATTTCAATTTAAAATTTTGTTTGAGCTATACATTAATATTGTGTATTTTAAAAAAGTTTTAAAAATGTGCAAAATTACAGTAATTTACGAATTTTTTTTTACAAAATTACTGGTAATTAAAAAGGTCTGTAATTTTGAAATCCCTAGTCATCACCTGTAACTTATGACATATTTCATGTATCATAAATAAATTATGATAAAATGTCATAATTTTCATTATGGTCAACATCTGCTTCTTCAATCTCTTTGTCCCTCAAAATAAAAATACCTATATCTTTCATTTTTTTGTTATATTCACAATCTTCATTGTTAATTATGTTGCTTTCTTCTTAACTTTTCTCAGCTTTCTTCTTTTTGTTTTGAGTCTGATGCAGGTACCAGGGATGCAGAGTCCCAAAAGGACTCCGGCTTTATTTTTTTTTAAACATGTTGGTTGATTAATGTTGGTTTTTAAACATGTTGGTTGATAAATGCTCTAAACATGTTGGTTGATTAATGATCTGCTATAAGAAAAAAAGGTATGATATTTAATGACTTGCAACTTATTGTTTTTAAGTCCGGAGTCCCGGAGTCTTTGCCGCCATTATATCTAAGGACTCCGGGTTCAAAAACTGATTGTTCTTCAGACCTATAAGTCTTGATTTTTTGTCGATTAGTAGTCCATAAGCTTTTTTATATTTTTAAAGTTCCTGGTTACCAAAAACTAGAAAGAAGTAATCTTTTTGCGATTTTCAAATCCGCAGTCTTTTTTGGGACTCTGCATCCCTGACAGGTACTCTCCATACGTTTAATACATGTCTTGGTTATATCAGCTTACAATATTTTTTTTTTGTAATGATATTGGTCACATTATCAAATTTTAATATTCAGGTGCATTTTATATTAACAGGACAAAGATAAACTTGTTTTTTGATCCTATAATTTGTTTTACCTGCTGTGATATTTCCCTTTAAATAAGATACCTTGTACAACAAGGACTTGATTTGCAAAAAGATATTGTTCGCAATATGACTGACAAAGCAAGTGTGTAAAAAAAATTATAAGATTATTACCTGTAAACCAACTGTTATGTTTTGAACATGGTGTTCAACTGGTTGTGACTGAAGTACTATATCAAAAGCAGGATATAGAAAGGGAAATAGATCAGTATTTCAACAAAGACGAGGAACCAATTAATAGCTCTTGTGAGGATGTTGATTTTTCTGGAAACAATGAATTCTAGATATACTAAAAATCTAGATGCTAGTCATAATAAGCATTGAGAAATATTACTGAGAGTTGCAGTCCAGTGATCAAAAAAGTATGAAAATAATAGCGATTTTCAGGCAAACTTGAATAATTTTTTGAGAAAGACATAGTATAAGAAAGTCCTTGGCAAGGCAACTTTGAGAAAAACGTGGCTTGAGAAAGAGAAACTTAAATTGTCTTGTTTCAATAAATAAAATCTTGAAAGATGGCCACATCAATCAAGTGTAAGATAAAACCTATCGGTTATTACCATTAATAAATCAACAGTAGAATAAGAAGATCAAAATGCATATTGATGATCAGAAAGTAAGTTACTAGATTCAAGATGAGAGATTGAGTATTTGTTAATTAAAGACTCAAAAACCTTAACTATGATGATAAGAAGATAGGACAAGTATGGGACAGTAGTTAGATGAGTCAGATTGCTCTTCAGAATTTTTGAAAATAGGAACAGATGCTGCTTTCTAGTAGGCTGGAAAACAAGACTATGATAGGCACTTGTTAAACAGTTTTGAAAGTATATAGTACAGATCTGGAGAACAGTTATACAACACTATAACAGGTGTGTTGTCCAGACCACAGGCTGTAGAAGAGTCTAATCAGAAAACCACTTTAGATACAGAAGTAGTGATATGAATATCAAACAATGGACCAACCTGTGTTGGCTATATCAGGTAGGATGTAATTTGTGGAATCAAGAGATAAAATTGATAAAAAGTTCTTAGCAAGCTATTCAGCTATATCTTTAGGTGAGATAATAAAATCTGAACCATGCAAGAGAGGTACATTAACAGACTTTCCCATATTATAGACGCTGTTGAAGATTTTTCAGAAGTCTTGAAAGTCTTGAAGAAAAAAAAAATTTTTGAGATGAAATGGGAGATTTTGTGACCTGAGAATAGCAAGCTTTGGCGCTAGACAAAACCTTTTTACAATGGTTTCTAGCAATAGTAAACAGACGTTTGTTTTCTAGAGAACTGTTTTGGTGATAGATATAGAAGTAATGGTTACAATTGGAAATTACAGCAGCACAATTAGAGGAAAACCATGGAAAAGAGTAAGGCTTAACTTGGAATACTCGAGAGGGAATAAAAAATTCCATGCAAGCCTGAATTCAAGAAGTTATATAAGAAGCAAATTTATCAACAGGAAGGCAAAAGATTTCTACCCAAGGGCCATCGCAAAGAAAATTACAGAAAGAGTCCTAGTCAGCTCTAAGGTACTGTAAGAGGTACAATGATATTCTGATGATGAAGAAGAATGTGAAAATAGTTTTAGAGAGAAATCGAACCATGATCAGAAGTAGCTAAGAATGAATGTGGAGAAACTGAGCAATGACTAAGATCAGACACAAGTTAAGTAGAGAAGGTAAATGATTTGGATTGTCTGGAAAGCAATTTGGAAAATTAATTATTTGTGTTATAACATCAAAAAGAGTGCAGTCTTGAGATGAAGGAGAACGATAAAGAACAAAGAGAAAGGCAATAGAGTGAAATGGTGCTAAACGTAAGTACATAAAAGAATATACTGTGAATTCAAACTTACTTTTCACAACAACTGAGTGAGTTCTTACGAACGTAAATGCCCAGGCCAAGCATGTGATTTTGGAGTCTTTACTAATTAAAGGAAGATAACCATCAATACTAAGATCAAAAGATGAGAAAGCTGAACTCAAATCAGTCTCACATAGAGAAAGTAGGTCTGTTGAACTTTGCAAGAGATAAGACTCAACAAAAGTAAAGTTGCTTTGAAGACTACAAATATCAGTGATTTAGAGAAATTGGTGATGACGATTTTTATTTTTTGTGTTTTATAGTTTTTGGTACTCAAGTCATTTTTGGATTTGTTAAAGAACTTGACATAAAGCGTAGATAATACTCAGTGTACAACTTAATTGTCCTAGCAATTACCTACCCTAAGCCATAGCAAATGACTACCAGCCAGCCTCAGAACCATAAAACTGAGTTTTAGAGCTATACCTTCATTATGAGATAATAGAATGAGTTTCCTAGTCGTTTTAAGAGTATTAACTTAAATAATTTTCATATAAAGTTCATTAAAAAGACTATTGTTGACTAAAAAAGTTGTCTTTTTTTTTTAAAAAAAAAATTTAAAAAAGACATTTTTTTAAAAAAAGTATTTTTTTAAAAAAAAAAAAAAATCAAAATATTGAATTTCAATATAGTCAATACGTTAAATATAGAAAAAATTGCACTGCCTCTGTAGTGCAATATGCAAAGTTTTCTTTGATTTTAAGGACTTTCAGAAAAACTTCCCTAATTTTTTTAGATATTTACAAGTTTTCTAAATTTTCAAAACTTTCCTCTGATTTTCCAGGTTGATCATTAGAACCATAAACCATGGGATGTCTTTAAATTACCAAATTTAAGGAACTGACTATACTGAAATTCAAAATTTGAACCTTAAAGTTTGAACAATTAAAAAATGAAAAACTATTTGCACAATACTAGCTCAAAAAAAAAAAACTGGAAAAAAAAAATTGATTTTAATACCTTGACCACCAGTTGCAAATCTTGAGCCATCAGGATGAACATCAATGGAAAAAATAGGTTTACCTGAATTACAAGGGAAAAAAATATATGTTTATAACAATACCTATAGCATACTTATATATAAAATATAAATATATATATATATATATATATATATATATATATATATATATATATATATATATATATATATATATATATATATATATATATATATGTACATATATATATATATATATATATATATATATATATATATATATATATATATATATATATATATATATATATATATATATTAGGTATAAAAACACATATAGGTATTTATAGGAGCATTTATTTTTTTGCGATCTAATTGAAGCTTGCTACACACCATTATGATTCACCCAATCAGGCTTTAAAAACTTCATTAATTATTTCTTTTTAATCTAAAGTAAAAAAATTCAAATTAATTCATTATACCATCTACATATTGTTGGGGATAGAGCATAGAGCAAATCCAGGAATCTATTACAGGTAGGAGGGAAGTATCTGAACTACAGTTTTACAGGAGAAGATTAAAACTTTATATATTTTTTTATTTCAACAGATTTAGAGCTCATTTTGGCATACATACATACATACATACATACATACATACATACATACATACAGACATACATACATACATACATACATACATACATACATACATACATACATACATACATACATACATACATACATACATACATACATACATATACATACATACATACATACATACATACATACATACATATATATATATATCAAAAAAGCTTGTCAGATTGTTAAAGTTTTATTTGTAATACAGCTAATTATGTATTTAATGCTTTTTTTAAAAACATTAAATGCATTAACAAAAGTTTTGTAGCTCATATGTATGTATGTATGTATATATATATATATATATATATATATATATATATATATATATATATATATATATATATATATATATATATATATATATATATATATATATATATTTGCAGTTCTTGCTAATTTAATTATAGGTAATTTGGAAGAGCAATGGCTAAAATCATACAATTAAGTCAAGCAAGTATTTTACAAACGTGTTGAAAGAACAATGCATGCCAGTTTCTTCACTATATCAATTAAAGATATAATATTATTTACCATGGAAAAGTTAAGGGAATCTAAAATCACATGTTAAAACCTTTAATAGGAAACTAATGTTTCCTGCCGAAGGTTTCAACAAGTGATTTTTGTTAGTTATTTTATAAGATCCAGTGAAAGTCATACTTATTAACTAATTTCTGCAAGGAATCGGTGAATAAGCATGATTTTTTCTATCACATTACATTTAATGACTTGACCTTGGCTAAACTGACCTTGCAAAAATCTGTATTAAAAATTAACAATTATGGCACATGCCAGATTTGTTAAAAAAATCAAAAAATTATCTAACTTGTTTTACTATTTGACTGATGCGCATCAGTCAAATAGTAAAATAATAATTTTGGCCAAAAACATAACAACTTGTAACTTATGAGCTACAAAACTTTTGTTAATGCATTTAATGTTTTTAAAAAAAGCATTAAACACATAATTAGCTGTATTACAAATAAAACTTTAACAATCATGACAAGCTTTTTTGACTGCAGCATAACTTTGAAAATATCTGTTTTTCATCTATTACTTCAACAGCAATAGAAAATTGGTAGAAATGTGAATATTCTACTTTCAAACTAAATAATAAATTAATTTAAAAACTAATTTAACACCACAACTAGTGGTATTATATTAGTAGCACTAAATGCTCCACACCAATATCACGTTGTTTATCGTTTTTTTTATTATAATAATAGAGCTTAGTATAGTAGCGCTTGAGATAAAAATGAAAAAAACTATAAACAAAAAATACTTAGCTTAAAAATGTAGTAATTGTCAAACATTTATTGAAACTTAACTAAGTACATAGTTTAGAATTTAACCTTTAGTGCATATTAGTTCACTTTGAACTAAAAGTGAGGTTTATTTAAATTTACTTTATAACTCTTTTAGAGCAAACTTTTAAAGAAAAAAACCACAAATTAGTGCATTATTTTATACATAACTGCCTTCATAATTTTTGCTATTTTAAATTTTAAATCTCGGAAGCTTTCTTAGCAGAATTTTTCCTTTCCAAGCTTTAACTTTTCATGAAATTTAAGTTTTAAAGCGTTTTTTTATATTTTAAAACTACGTGAAATTTTTATATTAAATCAAATATTTTATCATATTAAACTAAAATTTGGATATAATAAATAAAAATTTGGAGAATTTCTAAGAAGAAAAATCACGTGCAAAAAAAAAAAACTCTTTAATATAGATGAAAACATATAGATGAAAACATATAGATGAAAACATATAGAAAGTAAAAAAAAACAATCCTAATGTGTTAGATTAACATGTTTTTTAAAACGCAATTTTATATATTTTTATATTGTTATGTTTACGGTCTATAACAACAAACACATATGTTGTATTAACGGTCGGTAATCATGATAACGGTCAATAAAAACTCGTATGTTTTACAGCATGCAGTTTCAGAGCCATCGCACTGGGCCCCCAATATTTAAAGGGCCCCATGGAGTTTTTCTAATAAAAAACTTATTTAAAAGAAACTTGAACTAGAAGTCAAAATCTTAAGAATCTATTAGTAACAAGTTGTTTTTTGATAAGAAACTTATTTTATTCATAAAATTTTTCACCTACATATGACAGCAACAGAACACAAATTTAAAACGAAGCATTAAATACAATCGAGAAAAACAGTTTAGAGGAGTATTGATTTGCAGGCGCAATCGAATGGAATTTCATTCGAATGAGAAACAAATTCCTCTTTCGGAAAAAGTTTTCATCTAAAAATCAATCAAATGGAAACAATAAAAATACGATTAAATTAATAATGATTTAATTTGAAAATTATATACATAATTATATACAAAATACGACTTAAAAATAGCTTATAGAGTTTTACATATAATAGTAAGTAATATTAAATCATCAAAATACTTTACAGTAGTGAAAGATCCTACACCAGGTGATAGATTCTATCACTACGGAAAAGTATTTTGATGATCATCAGGACAATCTTGCTTCAAGTAGAAGCAAGATTGTTTTGATAAATCACCAGAACCTTGTTTAACATTACCAAAATGGAGATTACGTAATCTCAAGAGATTGACAGACTATTGCTATTATACAGACCATAAAAACAAATTAGATGAGAAATATGACGATATTGTTGACATTCCAAATGAAGAAATTGAACCAAATAGACGAAGAAATTGGTCCAACTGAATGCTGTGATGATATTGATATACGTGATCCGTTTCTGAAACTGATGACGAGTATAACCATAAAACTCAAACGGCTAAAGATAATTTTAAACAACCTTAGTGATCGTCCATAAATTACGCAACGCTAAATTTATTTAAAAAACAGATGTAGGTAATCTTGAATATTTTTACGTGGTGATTTTCATTAAACTTAATGAGCTGTTTTTATTTTTTATTTAACTTAAGGCTCTGCAAGGGAAAACTTTTGGTCTTTTATGTTTTGTTTATTAGTGAAATTTAGCGTTGCGTAATTTACGGAAAATTCGTTATTTAAAAAAAAAAATTGACGTAGTAAAAGATTCATTGCAACAACGATTGAATCGTATAATTACTTAATGATATGACTGTATTATAGTTTTTTTCGGACAATGAATAATTTATTATCATTTTCATTGTCCCCTGTCAGATTACAGTCATCGTTTTCGCCATAAACTTTTTTCTTTTCGTTAATGTGACTGTTTTCATCATTCTGTTGTCGGTTCTACTAGCATTTTCTTTTGTACATCTTTTTGAACATATGTTAACAAACACACAAAATTACAGTTTTCACCAAAATTTTAATTTCATATTTGCAAAAGAACTATTTAACAGTCAAAAACCTAATCTAATTTGTAAAAGTTTTAATAGCAACAATCTTTACCTTAAAAATAAAGATCTTATCTGTTGGTTAGTTATATATTGATCAGGCGGAAGTTCCTTTCTCAGCTGCATGTGAACCTGCTCAGGACTCGTTTTATTACCTGATTCTTCTCCTCGAATAAAGTATCTATACAACAGTGCTTTCTGTTGATTTTAAAATCTAAAAGAACTTCAAACTGGTAATGCCCAACCTTGCAATACAAAAATGTTCATGCAATGTGGTTTGTCTTTTACAGAAACACTGCTAGAGAATGAAGAAACTGGCATATTTAGTTGTGAAGTAATTTTCATCTTATGAACAAACGAGTTGTGAACTTTATCCAATGATGTTAATGATTTTGAAACTGTATGAAGATTGGATAGGATGTGTTCTTTAAACTCAGCATTGCTTCAAATGAAAAGGTACAATTCATTTCATTGCAAAATCTTAATGAACATAATTGCCTGTAATAAACATAACTGCTACTTTTGCATCTTTAGTGTCAAAACTATAATGCATAGCTTTGTGTATATCTTCAGCAGTCAAAAGATTATTACCGGAATCAACGTAACCCCATAAGATTGTCTTTGCAACTGTACTATCCCTGTCACATTGATCTTTTCCACAACAAGGTTCATTATAATCATATTTCAGCAATTTTATATCTCTCTCTTTGCATACATTGTAGATAGCTTCAGCTGAAAGATTTCTATGATAGCAGCCGGCATTATTAGGTTTGGTTAACATCTTCCTGAACAACATCATCTATTCCCTGATCTATACATTAAAGTAAAGTAAACACGCTTGAATAACTTTCCTGCTATTTTTATGAAGAATATATCCACTTGTAAACTCATTCCTTTCTTTCCAAAATACTCTTTATGGCCCTCTCTGTATCGAACCAGAAGAATTTTTTGACAAAAATCTTCAAGCCAGAAAGTAGTCTCACCGTTTAATTGCTTAAAAGCTTCGATTTTTGCCTTTTTCTGTTGAGAATCTCTCACCAGATGTTTTATGTAGTTGAATACATCCTTTACAGCAATTTCCAAATCATAAATCAGCATCATCAGATTTTTGAATTGCTAGTTCTTTGATCATCTCGATTGATCATCTCTCTTTAAGCTCTCGATAGCTTTTCACAAATTACAACAATCCGCACATACCACTTCTGATCGGATTGAAGATTTTTTTCAGATGGATCTGATAAAGTATGTTTTGAGCTATGAGAAGAAATGTTTGAGTCATTGACACTACAATTGGTTTGATAACTTGTTTTCAGATTTTTCTTTTCTCAAGGGCAGCTTTGAGAGATTTAGAATTAAATCTGAATTTTTGTAATGTTTGAAAACCATTCATACCTGAAGCAGTGACTTCATCTAATCCAGCTAAACTTTTTCGACTTGACGGTTTTATTGCATGCAATATTTTCCATAAAATTGAATCGGATAATAGTACA